TTTACCATTAACAAAAATTATCTTGTGAATATTATGACCATTATAACCATTAGCTATTAGAACTAAGTTTAACAAAATTAATGTATCCAACCCTGCCTTAATTTATGAGTACCTATTTAATTATTACTTATCATAGAAGTAAAAAGTGAAGAGATTAATTTTGAATCTATTTACCATTAACAAAAATTATCTTGTGAATATTATGACCATTATAACCATTAGCTATTAGAACTAAGTTTAACAAAATTAATGTATCCAACCCTGCCTTAATTTATGAGTACCTATTTAATTATTACTTATCATAGAAGTAAAAAGTGAAGAGATTAATTTTGAATCTATTTACCATTAACAAAAATTATCTTGTGAATATTATGACCATTATAACCATTAGTTATTAGAACTAAGTTTAACAAAATTAATCTATCCAACCCTGCCTTAATTTATGAGTACCTATTTAATTATTACTTATCATAGAAGTAAAAACTGATAACATGCAGCATCAACTACAGGAATAACGAAGCCATAAAAATTTAGAGCAGTTGAGAAACTTCATTAACTTCAAATTATGGTCAAGAGTAACAGTGTGAAAGTTTTTACAAGAAGATTATATAATATATAATATTAATCAATAATTCGCTTTTTCAGTTAGAAAAAAAAACTGAGTTTTATCGTTGTTAATGAATAAAAATAATACATTTATAATCGTTTCAGAGTAAGGACGAGAAATTTAGATAAGTTAGCTGTTAAACGTTTTCATCTCTTATGGCTTTGTCGAGAGATGCAGTCCTTCCTGTGTTTTACTGATCTTCTGACTTGTATCCAGAACCAGGTAAACATTTGGTGTTTTGTTTATGGTATTTTATTGATTTCAAAATATGTAAAATATTCAAGGATATAGAAAAGGATACACTTTTTTTTATGTTTTCTAATAAAGACCGACTTATTTTGTCGGTTACAGTTGAGTTGGCCAAATTAAAGGAACGGTTTTAACTCGTTTCTCTTATGTGTTATTAGAATATAGAAAAGGGTATATTATGATTTAGTTTATAATAAAGACAACTTGTTTTATCGGTTACAGTTGATGGACTTAAATTAAAGGGACGGTTTTGTATTTCCGGTGGGTCTTATTAGAGGCTCATTTTGCAAATTAAAAACTGCGAATCCTATTGCAGTCAAGATAATTGTACTTTCCTGTGTTACAGATGTGGGAAGAAAATCGCCCAGATTTTATAGACATTCAGTTGTACCTTACACGTCAATATAGACAAGAACAACTACAGGTGAGAGACAATTATAGTTATAGGAAAGTTTATATACATCAGGGTTCTAAAGTGTTCAGCAAGCCTATATGATGTTCAATTTATATGCAGCTCTTCACGTGGAGTTAGTTTCTCATAAAGACAGAAAAAAGGAAACTTTCTTTAAATTTAAAACTATCAGAACTACCACTTGATCCGAAGTTGTTTGTTTGTAATTAAGCACAAAGCTACACAATGGGCTATCTGTGCTCTGTCCACTACGGGTATCGAAACCCGGATTCGAGCGTTGTAAGTCCGCATACATACCGCTGTGCCACTGGGGGGGGGGGGTTGATCTGAAGTAAGGTATTAACCAAAATAAGGTGAATTTACCATAAGTCTGTGTAAAAATTCCTTCAAAAACTCAAGTTTTGCACAAGACTAAAATAGTGTTTTCACATGTTAGGGTATGTATATGAGATCATCCTGGCCCACGTTGCTATGCTTGTGTTTTGTTACTGCATTACACAATCTACGACTGCTAACGACACTAGAAAAAAATACCGAGTGTTTTATTTTCCCTTTTGTACAGTTAGTCACTGTTTCGAAATGTTGCCTCATATCATGAAACAACATTCAGAACTCTCTGATTAAAAAAATTGTTTAAAAACAAACAAGCAAAAAATACTGGAATAACAAGAGAAAAACAAGGCGTGTTTGTGTATCCGTGTCTTTTTAAGCTTTCTGTTACCACTTGCAAGATGACTAATGATAAATTCTAGGAGCCACTCCTTTTTCTTTTCTTTTTTTTATGTAGCAATAACACCACAGAAAGGTCACACAGAATAACTGCTCCAATTTGAATTAATTTCTCACGTTTTGCTTTTACTTAAATTATATATATATATAAGTAATAAACTAAACTACCGTTGGTTATGTCCATTACACTCGCGAATTCATGTTTGTCTCCCTCTGTTCAAATACAATGAAAACCTGACTTTAACAGTATTTGAATAACCGATTCTGATCTACCGTATTTTTTCGGTATATAAGACGCACT